TTTTTTTTTTTTTTTTTTATTAATATATATTTTTATATGTTATTTTTTGTGGGCTTTTGCGATTACTTAGAGAAAATACCAGCAAATAAATTGAAAAAAAATAAATAAAATATATGGAAAAAAATATGAATGGTATTATATTAAAAAAAACAAAACCCAAACTAGATCTTATTTTAATCAGATTGAATTGGTGAAACCTCTGATAAGGTCTGCAGGTGCTTTAATTCTAGCAGGTCTAGTTGAAACATGGCAAGATATCGCCATTTGATAGACAGATGGTACATGTATGTAGTCTCAAATATTGATACAGTTTGTGATAAAATACCCTATGTATAGCACGTACATGTATATCGAGAGACAAATCAAAGTGAACCTCAGTGTCGGGCACAGTCGCCTTGCATAACAAATGTCATATGTCAGGTTTACATGCCAATTTTGAATGATATCATTTTTTTTTTTTATCACAGCATGCCAGGGTGCATGTTTTGGAAACTGAAAGTTTTGAAAGTACATTTGGTAAGAAGAAACAGAGAAAGAGACCGACATTGAAAGCAGCAGATGTGGAGGTAAGAAAATAGAACTATCAATCCCCTCTAATTTTTCTATTCAGAGTCTGATTAGATAAAAGATTAACAACACCCCACCCCCCTCCCATTTTTTGTTTCTGGAGGATGGCTAAAGCCACAATTAATTAGTCCCCGTTTCAGACGCAGCCCGAAAGGCGGACTATTACTTCTTATTTTCAATTTCTGTCTGTGACGTCTCCAACATTTGGCTAGTTGATGAACAAGTCTCTGCCAAATATGCATGTAAATTTTTTTTTACAGATCTGAAAATCATAAATGGGTCATGATTTTCATCTAAAACTACATCTCCCAACACCACTGATGGAACAATTGAGCATGTTCAGAATAAATAATTAGCTTATATTGTAATGCTAGGGTTTTCAGTGCTGTCTGACCTGGTCATGACCTTGATCTGAATCAGTGCAGGGTTCTCCACGGTTTGAAAATTAAACAGGGCGCGCCAATGTGAAGTGAGCGTGGCACATTTGTAACGTGCATCATTGGCATGGATGTTGAAAAATGGAAACCAAAAAATCTATTAATCTACATATTATTACATATGCATAATATATATTTATTATTACAAAATGAATAGGAATTTTGAAGAGCTATTATTAAGTAAACGTCAACACGT